TTTTTTTACCATATGCAATTATTGTTAGCCTTTAAATTATATTATGAACTATTAAGTATTAAGTACTTCATATTTGAAATTTTAAATATTTTATTTTAGACCTATTTTATCAATGAACAAATTTAACAATTTATTTTAAAACATTTACATAGTTTATAATTTTTTGTTAAATTTACTAGGATCTTACGATCCTATTTGCGATATTACGATTTGCGATCTCATCTACCCTTTCCGATCTCAAGTAAAATCTTGATTTTGACAACCTTGTTCATAAACTTATCAGTTTTCTCCTCCCAACCCCACTATAAATACCACCTCGCCCTAGCATCAACCCTTCAATCACTGGATTACACACATACACTATTATAGAAGCGATCAACAAATCATCATCGTAGCTATGAGCACGGTCGGTGATGAGGTCATCCGCTGCAAGGGTATTCGTCTCTTCTGGGTCTTTGATTCCTTCATCAAGTTTTAAACTTTTTTAAAGTCTTTTGCATTCGGTTCTTGGACTCACTTTTTCTGTTTTTTGATTCTAATATCATATCATCTTCTCTTTAAACCGTTCGTTTTTTTTACTAGTATTAGTATTTTTTATTACTTATCCATGGCAAATCGAAGGTACTGTTACTGACAATTTTGGGTTTTTTTTTTTAATCATCTTCACATAATATTTGATTTATGGGGTGATGGTTGCTTTCAAAGCGGTTTCTTGGGGGTAAACTTTATTGATTTTCTTGGTAGTTTTGCGATTATGGGCTAATATGATACCTGTGATCTGTAGCTGCTGTTGCATGGGAGGCTGGGAAGCCTCTTGTGATTGAAGAGGTGGAGGTGGCACCACCACAGAAGGATGAAGTCCGTTTGAAGATTCTCTACACCTCCTTGTGCCACTCTGATGTCAACTTCTGGGATGCCAAGGTAACTACTTTCACGTTCTTTTGGGAATTGATGAATATGTAGATATTGGGGAAAACGTTCATAACTGTTCTTAGACAAAGTTTGTACAAATTCATCATCTGCAAATAATTTGAGGGGCTTCTGATTATTGAATGTTCAGGAATGTTGATACCCTCTTTTGATTCTTCTGAAATTTTATCTTTGCGTTGCAGGGACAAAACCCTCTGTTTCCTCGCATACTTGGTCATGAAGCTGGAGGGTATGTACATATATAATATCGTACTACATAAAAGTTGCATAGATGTGTCTAAGTTGTGTTTATAATAGTCCGTTCTGTTGGATCTCTTTCTTAAGATAACTCCAATCTTACTTATATCCATTAATTTATTTGTTTGTTTGAATTTTCTGGGTCTTAGAATTGTGGAGAGTGTGGGTGAGGGTGTAACTGATCTCCAACCAGGTGATCATGTTCTCCCCGTATTCACTGGGGAATGCGGGGACTGCCCCCACTGCAAGTCTGAGGACAGCAACATGTGTGATCTCCTTAGGGTCAATACCGACAGGGGCCATATGATTCATGATGGCAAAACAAGGTTCTCTATCAAGGGGCAGCCAATCTATCACTTCGTTGGCACCTCAACTTTCAGTGAATACACCGTTGTCCATGCTGGGCAGGTTGCAAAGATCAATCCAGCTGCCCCTCTTGAAAAAGTTTTTCTTCTGAGTTGTGGAATATCCACAGGTAAGGGGACAATGCCTATCTGTCTATAATGTTTCTTCTTTGCAGATAAATGATAATTAGGTGGACATGCAAATTCCATTTGACTAATTATGTTGCTTTTGCTTGAAGGCTTTGGTGCTACTGTGAACGTTGCTAAACCCAAAAAGGGTCAGTCAGTTGCCATCTTTGGACTGGGAGCTGTCGGCCTTGCTGTAAGCAATTCTTGTTGCTAGTGTCTTTTCTCTTGGGGAGATAGAGAACTTTTTTTAAAATCTGAATTCTCTTGTGATTTTTAGGCTGCTGAAGGGGCACGGGTTTCCGGGGCTTCAAGAATCATTGGTATTGATTTGAATCCCAGCAGATTTGAGGAAGGTAATGTCAACTTGACCTTTTATACATTATAATGTATGCTTCCACATTTAAAGATCTTTTTCATCTTGATTTAGGTGAAGTTGATTGATACTAATGAGAAGCGTTTCACGTTTGTGAATATGTTTGCAGCCAAGAAGTTTGGTGTAACAGAGTTTGTGAATCCAAAAGATTATGACAAACCTATTCAACAGGTTAGTACCAGATGCCAGTTAATTAAGGATGATGAATTTTAATTTCCACTACTATGACCTATTGTTCATACAATCTCTAGAATTAGTTTCCATAAAATGTTCATAGCTCTTTCATTGGTTATGGTACAGATTATCATTGTGGTTAATTGAGTGTTGAAGTATGGTAGAAGCTTAGTAGCTTCATCTTATACTAAGCTTAACATATGCAATTTTATAACCAGGTGATTGCTGAGATGACAAATGGAGGAGTGGATCGTAGTGTTGAATGCACTGGAAGCATCCAGGCTATGATTTCAGCATTTGAATGCGTTCATGATGTAAGTAGCTTCAAATTTTTATAGTTGAGAAAAAAAGTATGTCTCTGTTCTTGTTGCCTTTCATAACTGGATTGTGATGCTTCTTCTCAGGGTTGGGGTGTTGCTGTTCTAGTTGGTGTCCCGAACAAAGATGATGCTTTCAAAACAAGTCCAGTGAATTTCCTAAGTGAGAGGACTCTCAAGGGTACCTTCTTTGGCAACTACAAACCCCGCACCGACATTCCCAAAGTTGTCGATCAATACATGAACAAGGTGAGTTCCTCACATCTCTTCCTTTAATCTTGTTTAACCCGAGCCACCCCCAAACATCCAAACAACCCCACAAATACTAACGTCACTCTTTCTTGATTCCAATAGGAGCTAGACCTGGAGAGACTGGAGAAGTTTGTAACTCACTCTGTGCCTTTCTCGGAGATCAACAAAGCATTTGACTACATGCTATCCGGCGAAGGTCTAAGGTGCATGATTTACATGGAACATTAGACAATGGGTCCACTGGTGTGGCTCCGGCGCTTCTCAAAGTCAAAATCCCGTTTTTCCCATTTATGGCCAAATATTACTAAGTTTTTCCTTTTAAGTTTTCTCGGTTTTGTGGAGCGAATAAGCTGCGGTTTCGATATGGTGAATAGTGAACTTGGTGTGGTTTATAAATTTTATAAATATATGTATGTTGTGTTCCTATATCTTGTCCTTTAACAGCATGCATTTTTTTTTTAATGGATTTTTCTCTCTGAAACAGAAACAGGACACAAACGTTATCCAACATTTTCCTTTGTCCATAAACAGAATCCTAATTGAATCAGATCCACCACCCCAAATTTGATTTTCAACTAAACAGGCTATTCTTCCAATTCTATACAAAGAAGATCACTAAAGCTCGAAGTTATCCTTGTTTTCTTACCATCTCAAATTTTATTACCACCTCCTAGTTGTCAACACAAATTGGTCATTTTCATTCACTCTAGGATTTGTCATAAATTGTCATCAGCATTTGGATGTCATAAAATCTCATCCACACTTGGATTGGACATCTTCATGCACGCTTGGATTAGTCATAAATTCTCATCCATAAATTCTCATCAGCACTTGGAATAGTCATAAAATTTCATCCACTCTACTTGGGTGGCCCCCTACACCTCATCGTTGGTTAAGCAATCCAAATCATCTACAACAAAGCCGCAAAAGACAGAAAAAGAGTCACTGTCTTCTAATCTACTCCCAACTAATATCCAAGAAGGAAATAGTTGACCTTAATTTTGATGTGTTAAAATTTAGTAGAAATGTAAATTTATTTTATTGCATACTTTTTATTCCATTAATTAAATCTTGTTTTTGTAAATTTGATGATAAAATTTCAATTCGAAATGTGAAAGGGTTAATTTCAAAAATTGGGATGTGATTATTTAATTTTATCTTTGGAAAGTCAATTTTTAGAATTATCTTATTGTTATGAAAGGAAGTAATTGCATTTTAATTTTGGAATTATAATTATAAGATTAAATATCATGTCTAATTGTTGAATGAAATATATTTCCAAAATAAATTGAGTTTCCTTTTCAAAATTTTTCCAAAATGCATCTTGGTGCAAAAGGGTGTGGAACCAAACAAAAGGGTTTATAACTTTTTAGAGTAAAGGTATAAATAAGGATGTCAAATTTGCACTTCTTTCTATTTAAACATGTTAACTTTGTCAGTTTCTAAAGAAGGATGTCAACTTTCAATTTTTTTATTATTTAAGAATTAATTGGGGTGATATTGATGTGGCTAATGGTATTTTTTTAGGTTAAATACCTAAATTGGTCCCTCAACTTTTATTTTTGAACCAATCCATCCTTAAACTTCAAAAAGTACCAAAAATGTCCTTCAACCTCGATTTTCAACACCAATTTCGTCTTTTCGTCAGTTTAGTGCTGATGTAGCTAATTTTTTCGCTAAGTGATTGACTATTTTACATTATCAATATTAGGTGGAAAATCCATCATGTAAAAGATGATTATGTGGATTTTTT